CCCCCTGCCCCATCCGAGCCCCTCGCCCCTCACCCCCACGCTGTCTGCATGGCCCCTCCGTCTCTCCCGCCCCCACCGCGACTCCTCCCCTTGGGTACCCACCACTCCCTCCATCCTGTCTCCAACGTGATGTGCCTCTGGACTTTTCGCGGGGCTTCGTTTTCCGAAGGGCTGCCGGCTCCCAGGACCCACCCCTACGCCCGCTGAGCTACCCCCTCCTCGCCTCCCGCCTGGATTCAGGGAGCAGGGGTTCGAGTTTCCAGCGAGGGACCCAGGCTGGAAGGGAGGGGATTGGGCACCTTCCTTCATCCCCTGGAGTCCCCTCCTGGGTAGAGTAGACCAGAAGACCAGACCCCCCCCCCCGAGACCACCCCCCGAGGCTGCACCCCTAATACCGCGTGAAAATCAGAGGCGGGTGGGGACGGCGAGTCCTTCAGCGTCGCTGAGCCTCCAGTCTGTCGCCTGCACGGTGGAAACAGGCCTCCTGTACCCACGCGACGCTGGGCACTCGCCACGCGCTTCTTTAGGCCCTGAGATGTCACCCAGGGACGGCCCTTTCAGGCTAGCGACGTTTACGGGGTCAACCCGAGTCCTCCTCTCGGCCGTCAAACCTCTCGTGGGGCCGGTGGGGCCTTCTGCAAGCTCAGGTGCCCGTTAGCGTCCGCCCCTTCCCCCCGACCCCGGAAACCCATCTGACTTCCGAAAATGGAGCCCCCGAAATGCATCCTGCCGCCTTCGTAGTCCCCCCGAGTTGGGGACAGAAGGCTGCATCCCCTTCCCCGCTAAGAAATGCACAGAACATGTCCCTGTTTTCTCAACGCTCAAGTTCATCCCCCTCGTTGATTATTATAATTAATTATTATTATTAATAATATCCTATTTATTCTGCCAGGGCTGTGATGTGACAATGTGACGTGTCACATTGGGTCACATCCGCTAGAATTAATATGCAGCATTGACGCGGGCCCCCTGCCCCCCTCTTTCTTTCTCTCTGTCTCTGTCTCCCTCTCTCTGTCTCTGTCTCTCAATTCATCTGTCCCCTCTCTCTCTGGTACCCACACAGTGTGCGCTGGGGAGCCCCGAAATGCATCACCTCCCTGTCCCTCCCTCTCTTTCTCTGTCTCTCTCTCTCTCTGAACCTATGTTGCATGACGGTTGTGACTCTGAGAGCTGCATCTATTGATGGAAACTTGTCAGATCCGACAGAAGCTTTTAGAAGGGTTTCTATACCCCAAAACCACAAAAATTTCATTAGAGTTTCTCATCTTTTCCTCGAGGGCCACGGGGAAGTGGGCGGGGCCCCTGAGTCAACCAGGTGGGACGACAGTTGGGGGACCGCGATCTCAGGCTCCCTCTGCCTCCTGGTGTCAGATCTGCGATGTGACGACCTCATCGCCCCCAGAGAACCAGGGAGGGTTGGGTCGTCCCCTCCCGGTAAGCGTCACCTCCCCTGGCCACCCCAAAACCCCGACACTCGCAGCCCGGAATCTTCCAGCGCTCTCCGCGGTGACCGCTCCCCGAAGCCACGTCTGTCAGCAAAGATGAGAAACGGCTGATAAATTTTTGTGTCCCTCTCTGTGCTGTGACCAGCCACTCTGGTCCATGAAACCCTGTTGCTATGAGAGAACGCTTCATGTCTCTTTAATATATATCAATATATCTCTCTATATATTGTTTGTGAAGTACCTTCCTTTGAAGTTTTGGTTTTCTTTGTGTTGGAGTTTGGTTTTTTAATTTGGTTTTTTTGTTTCGTTTTCATTTGGGGAAAAAAAAATTAATTGGGGGAAAAGAAACGGCCTTGTTTATATTTAAATTGTTTTCCCCTTTTTTTTTTTCCTTTTTTTCTTTCTTTCCTTCTTTCTTTCTTTCTGCTTTTCTTTCCTTTTTCTGTTTTTTTTTTTCTCCCCCGCATTTTCTGTCTCCCACCGTCCCTCCCCACCCGGTGCATTTCCCTCCCGCCGCCGCCACCGCCGCCGCCCACCCCCCTCCCCAGTCCGCCGCGTGGCTCCTCGGTTCTCCATCCTGCCCATGAGCCACGAGATCATGCCAGGTGGCAACGTGAACATCACCTGCGTGGCCGTGGGCTCGCCCATGCCGTACGTCAAGTGGATGCAGGGGGCCGAGGACCTGACTCCCGAGGACGACATGCCCGTGGGTCGCAATGTTCTAGAACTCACGGATGTCAAGGACTCGGCCAACTACACGTGCGTGGCCATGTCCAGCCTGGGTGTCATCGAGGCGGTGGCCCAGATCACGGTGAAATGTAAGCAGGGTCCACAGGGCTTCAGGGTGGCAGGGCGGGCTGGAGTGTGTCCCCGACGCCAGGCACAGGTGGGAGGCAGAGCTGGGACAGCCCTGAATTTACAGTTTGGGCTCTGGTCATTCATGGCCACGAGGACAGTGGTTGTCCTTTGAACCGATATTTATTGGTTACAAACTATTCTGGGTCAGGCCCTCTGCCTTGTCGAGCTCCAAGTCCAATGGGGGAGACGCCGCGTAGTCAGGCACCAGTGACACAGACTGATTAGAACTGAATGAGGGGGACACACCCAAGCATTCAGAACCCCCAGAGTAAAGGTGTCACCTCCCAGGAAAGTTAGGTGAGGGAAGGGGATGTCTCAGCCTAAAGGTCGAACAGAAGTGAGCCAGACAAAGAGGATGAGGAACAGTGTTCTGGGAAGATGGAACAGAATATGCAAAATACAGTGTCCAGAGAAGGTAAGCAGGAGTGTCGATGCTCCTACAGATTCTCCTGGTATCTCGAGTTTGTGGTGAGATTCAGAGAACAGTGGCCTCAAATATTTTTCAGCCTTTACAACAGGGGCCAGCAAGCAACCACCCACAGGCCGAATCCGGCCCTCCACTTGTTGTTTTATAAATAAAGTTTTATTGGCACACGGACACACCCATTCATTCAGGCCTCATTTATGACAGCTTTAGGGCTACTGTGGCAGAGCTGAGGAATTGCAACGGAGTCCACCCAGCCTGCAAAGCTGAAAATAATTACCGCCTGGCATTTTGCAGGACACATTTGTGAAACCCTAGCCTAGGGCCGTGGACAATGTCGGCATCAGCCAGTTTGTTGGTCATTTTCCCGAGGGTTGGACGTTTGCGGGCAAATGCTGCCTGGGTCCTGAGTAAACATTTTCAGTTTTATGGGGGTATCTCGTCTGTGCCTCAAGCTACTCAATTCTGTCATTGTTGCATAAAAGCAGCCATTGACAACGTGTAAGTGTGGCCATGTTCCGATAAAACTTTATTTACAAAAATAAGTGCTGAACAGTCTGCCCGGGGGCTGTAGGTTGCTGACCCCCTGCTGTAGATAATGAGATGGAAGTGTTAGGCCCATGGTTCCTGCCTACCAAATCAAGGCTCAGAGAGGGCAGTCGTGTGGCCAAAAGTCACACAGCCTTCAGGAGCCTCAACCGATGTCCCCGATGATGCCTCCTGCCCACAGCTCTCCCCAAAGCCCCCGGGACTCCCGTGGTGACAGAGAACACAGCCACCAGCATCACCATCACGTGGGACTCGGGCAACCCGGACCCTGTGTCCTATTACGTCATCGAGTATAAATCCAAGAGCCAGGACGGGCCGTACCAGATCAAGGAGGACATCACCACGACGCGCTACAGCATCGGCGGCCTGAGCCCCAACTCAGAGTACGAGATCTGGGTGTCGGCCGTCAACTCCATCGGCCAGGGCCCCCCCAGCGAGTCAGTGGTCACCCGCACGGGCGAGCAGGCCCCGGCCAGCGCGCCGCGGAACGTGCAGGCCCGCATGCTCAGCGCCACCACCATGATCGTGCAGTGGGAGGAGCCAGTGGAACCCAACGGGCTGATCCGTGGCTACCGCGTCTACTACACCATGGAGCCAGAGCACCCCGTGGGCAACTGGCAGAAACACAACGTGGACGACAGCCTGCTGACCACCGTGGGCAGCCTGTTGGAGGACGAGACCTACACCGTGCGGGTGCTGGCCTTCACCTCCGTGGGCGA